CCAAAAGGAAAGAAACCCATTGGATGTAAATGGTCTTCAATTTGAAATACAAAGCTTACGGGATAATAGAACGGCATAAGGCCTAGTTGGTTGCAAAATGATACACGCAGACTTACGGTATTGACTATACAGAAGCATTTGCACCAGTAGCAAAATTGAATTCAATTCGGGTTCTTCTATCACTAGCAGCAAATTTGGATTGGCCACTCAGTAACTGGATATTAAAAATGCATTCTTAAATGGGAAATTGGAAGAAGAAGTATTCATGATATTACCAACAGGATTTTGTAAGTTAAATGAAAAAATCGGGTATGTAAATTGAAAAAGTCTTGGACTCAAGCAGGCATGGTTTGATAGGTTTGCGAAAGTACTGAAAAGCCAGGGATGTCACCAAGGACAATCAGATCACACCATGCTTTTTCGGCCATTTGAAGATTGTACTAAAATGATTCTGATAGTATATGTCGACGATATTATTCTGACACGTAACAATATAGTTGAAATGGAGAGACTACAGAGGAGCCTTGCTACTGAATTTGAGGTGAAGGATTTGGGACCAATGCAATACTTTCTGGGAACGGAAGTTGCTAGATCTAAGAGAGGCATCAGTTTATCGCAACGGAAATATGTCATTGATCTTTTAATCGAAATCGGCATGCTTGGATGCAAACCAAGTGATGCACTCGTGGATGTGGGAAAGAAAAATGAAGATGGAGGAAAGCCAGTGGAAATTGATAGATACCAAAGCCTGGTTGGAAAACTAATCTACCCGTCACACACCAAACCTGACATCGCATTTGCAGTTAGTCTAGTAAGTTAACACATACATTCTCATAAGGAAAGTCACCTAGAAGCCGTCTATAAGATACTCAGATATTTTAAGGGATCCGCAGGTAAGGGGCTGCTCTTCAAAAGGGGCGAAAAGAAAGACAGAGAAGTTTACACAGATGCAGATTGGCCAGGTTCAATCGAAGATAGAAGGTCAACTATTGGGTATTGTGCCTTTGTATGGAAAAATTTGGTAACATGGAGAAGTAAAAAACAGAATGTAGTGGCCAAAAGAGTGCAGAAGTTGAATTTAGAGCTATAGCACAAGGAATATGCGAAGGACTATGGTTGAAAAAACTTTTGAAAGAGTTAAATGTCACAATAAAGTTGCCAATTAAACTCCACTGTTATAATAAAACAGCAATCAACATTTCTCATAATCCAGTTTAGCATGACTGAACAAAGCATGTTGAGGTGAATAAACACTTTATTAAGGAAAAGGTTGAGGAAGGGACCATTTGTATGATTTATGTTCCTGCACAAACACAGGTTGCATATGTTTTCACCAAAGGACTATTTAGATAGAAATTCGATGATTTCATTTTTAAGTTGGATATGATTTAACATCTATGATCCAACTTAAGGGGGAATGTCGAAATCCCTTATTGATTGGGGGAAGATTGGTTTTTTATTCTGGTTACCATAGATAGGATATTGTGATTGATTAGAATTGTAGGAGATTTATTTTTTTTCCTTTTCCATATATTCTTCTTGTACTATAAATAGACCTCCTCACTGTACAATATTTGTGTGGAAAATAAAGATATTTTCTCCCTAGTTTCATCTTCAAATCTTCAACAGCTATTCCTTAATCAACGTTGCAGGTACCAGTTTAAATACCCTCGTCCACCTAAGCCCCAGGCACCACGAATATATGAA